GTTGTGCCTGTTATGATGAGGTGGAGATACATTCACAAAACAATCATGCAGTTATCTGAATGATGATAATCTGATAGTGAAGTTTTTACCATCAAGATTTTTTTACTTCTCCTTTTTTTTAAAAAATAGCTTTGGCCTTCTAATTTAAAACTCTTTGGATAGAAACATTTCCTTTCCAACCTCAGCGTTCTTCATTTTCATTCCTAATTACTAGTCCCAATCCAAATCAAGCCTAAGGATTTTGCTAATTACTTTTGTCTGTGCTGGTTACCATGAATTGTGAATTATACTGTAATTCTTCCAAGAATGGTGTTGCATCTGTGAATATTAAACTACTGTGATTATTGCCGTCTTTTGATTTCCTTCCCAGGTGATTTTTCCATTGCCTGTAACACTGTAGGAGAGATAGTGTATGTATTTGTGTGAGAGAGCAAGAGTAGTGTACATGTCTGTTAGCATACATTAAAATGTTTCCTGTCAGCACCTCTTTTCCCTGAAATAATTGAATTCTGGTATGACTTGGAACTGTAGTGAGAAAAGAGTATTTCAAGAAAGACTAATGTTAACTTTAAAAATAAATAGATGGTTGTACTTCATGCCTTATTCATTTTTGACAGTCTAGATTGTAGGAAGCAGCACCATCATATCTTTATTGTAAGTTCATTTCTTTAGGTTGTGAAACCAAGATGGAAACTTACTTTTGGGAATGTTTCATTTTCAAAAGAAATGGGATTTTTAATAGAATAAGACTGGTATTCTCAGTTTAAACTGGAGAAAATGTCTTTCTTCTCAGCAACTCCAGATAAATTATTTTAGCTTTATTGTATACTACTTCAAAACTGCTTCAGGCATAAAAAATCCACAAACTATACTTTTTTTATAAAGGGATAGATAAATGTAATCTTTGACTGGCAGTCCTATAATTTAAAAAACTGTATTCCATCTAGAAGCCATGGTTCTGTCTCTAGTTCACCACTATCTCTATACCACTTGCTTTTCTTTGAGTAGGAGAGAATAACTGATGCTGCCAGTCTGCAAATTGTGATGTCTCTGTGATGTGAAAGGACTTTAAAAGTAATTGAAAGTATTCTCATCTGGTAAGACACAACTGCTCAATTCATAGCTAATGAAACAGGGTGGTTATTGAAAAAAACATTTCCCATCCTGTTTACTAAAAGCATTCTTAAACATATTCACATACAAGGGAGGCCCATGAAAGCCTCAGTGTTATACGTGCACTAAGTCAATATTCACGCACTTTCTTCTGTGCCCCTTAAAAGAGAAATGAAGCTGACTTGTAAATAAGCCCATAGGTCTAAAAATAGGTTGTAAAAACTTTGACTAGCTTTTGGAGACTAGAAATAACCTGCATTTCCAAGCCGATGTCTTTTAAGGCAAGAAAGATACTCTTAACAGTTTTTGGTGTGTGTATGTGGGGATGGAGGGGTCTCTTTAAGCCTTCTGCCAAAGTGGTTGATAAAGCATTGAAAGACAGCTATCCCTGCTTTGACTGTGCAGAATTCCTTGCCTCCGAAGGCTACCAAGTGAATTTTTAAAACCAGTGTAGAATTAAGAATAAAGGCCTTAAACACCTTTGTGCTACAATGCAGTACCTTGAAAGTTCATGGTTTGTTGAAATTTTGTCAGGGCATCAAGATGGAGAATAAGTATAATTTTCAACTGTAACATTTTTTCAAACGTTTGTTTGGGGTAGTTCCCTTTCTATAACTAAATGGCAGGAAAAACAGAACAATTTGAAGAGAGAGTGTTTAGGCGCGTTAGGTCATAGTTAAGATAGGTCATTTAAGCCTTGCAGTACCACTTAACTTGGTTGTGCTTGGCCACATCACTTGTTTATTTGAAAATGTATCTGGTTATACTAAATATATGGCTTACTGTCTAATAGCCAAATTCTTTGGGTGATTTAAAGTAATTTATGAAGAGACTATAATTCTAAGACTAGACAAGATGGTAGTGGAAGTAAGTGCATATTGAAAAGGAATATTGTTTATTGCCTAATTGCCATACAAGTTTCACTCAAGAGGTAATGAAATAGTAAAAATACAGGTATCCCTTGCTTAACACGGTTTTGATTAATCCAGGTTTTGATTAACACGGTAAAATTAATTGCAACCATCCCTTGGTATATGTGGCAGAGTTTTAATTAACATGACTTTTAAAATTTGCCACAAACAGTTGTGGGCATAATGACGTCATTCCTCTCACCCAACTGTGATCTCAGGGGTCCTGCAAGTGTGACGTTGGCAGTATTTGTATTACAAGTTCCAATTATTCATTGTAAGTTTTAGAACCCATTGACCATGTCGAAAAACCAGAGTACCAGGCCATCAAGCAAAGAAAGGAAAAGGAAAATAATATCCTTAGATACAAAATTTGATATAATTAAAAGACTTAAGTTGCTGCATCTACATTTCCTGCTGAGCTGCAGAAATTATCAAAGAAAATAATTATGATTACCACCAAATTTTCAACATAGATGAAACTGCCCTGTACTGGAAAAAAATATCATCTAGAACTTTAAAATTAAAACAAGAAGCAGTGCATCCTGGTTATAAAATATTAAGACATCTCATAACTATTATGCACAGAGGGAATGAAAATGCAGATTTTAAACTGAAGCTACTGTTTTTCCACCAGACTGAGAACTCAAGGGCTTTTCAAAGGTGTAACAAGAACTCGTTACCTGTACTTAGGAAGGCGAATTGTGAGGCTTATAATTTATACCATTGATTATTAAATTTGATTAACATGGTTTTGATATACACGGCAATATTGTGTGATCAATTAACAGCGTTAATCGAGGGATACCTGTACACAGTAACATAGTTGGGATTTGGAGGCTTTTTTCTGATGCACTAGATATACTGTATTGGAGTCACAATCCAAAACAGCATGTCTGTTCTAGTTTTTTAATTATATATGCAAAAATCTTATCACTGAGAGCAGGTACTTGCTAACAGAAGGCAAGCTACTAAGTATTGTACTAAGTATAATAATACTTTTTTATTTTGCCAGACTTCTGATAATAAAGTTCTGTTTCCATTTTTATCCTAGACTGATTTGTCTTGTTCTTAATTTGATTGTATTTTTATTTTTTTGGGTAATTTTTTACCCCATCCAAGACCCAGTGCATCTCAGGATGGCTTACAGTTCAAATTGTATGAAAATTGACATTACTAGTTGTTTCATTTTGTGTGTGAACATATTTGTGAGTTGCGTTGTGTTTTGGTTTGGCTTACATCCTTAGGTCTTGTTCATAAATGCAGTCTCCAGTGACTGAAAGAATATGGGAGGGTATGTTGTGGGATAACACTCTCATGGCAGAAAGTGAAGGGGAACTAAAGAGCCTCTTGATGTGGGTGAAGGAGGAGAGTGCAAAAGTTGGTTTGAAACTCGTGCTGGCAGAGACTCCTGCGAGGCCCTTGTACGGCACGGCAATCAAACCGGTCAGTCCTAGAGGAGATCAACCTTGACTGCTCTTTAGAAGGCCAGATACTGAAGATGAAACTCAAGTACTTTGGCCACCAAATGAGAAGGAAGGACTCCCTGGAGAAGAGCCTAATGCTGGGAACAATAGATGGCAAAAGAAGAAGGGGACAGCGGAGAATGAAGTGGCTAGATGGAGTCACTGAAACAGTTGGTGTGAGCTTAAGTGGACTCAGGGGGATGGTGGAAGACAGGAAGGCCTGGAGGAATGCTGTGATGCATCGGACACGACTTTGCAACTAGCAACATGTGGGAATGTAGCAATAGGCCCGTCCCTTTGCCTATTTGCATTAATTTAAAGGCTTCATTCATTCATTCATTTAATTTGTTTAAAGGCTGCCCATTAGCATCACGTTCTCTGATGCATGTGATGCTCTTCTTGATATTTATTCAGTAGTAGAAACTCTTAAAAAGGTTACTAAAATATATAGCATTACCTACGTGAGAATGGATATATAAACGGAAACTATAAGAATATCTGAAAAGGGTTAACATAATGCTTACAATCAGTTGCTGATGCTGTTACTGCTTAGTGCAGAACACTCTTTTTAAAAGGACATGTCTGTAGCACATACTCGAGTATCTGTAGTACCTATCCCATTCAGGATATCTGAACCTTTGACCAGGAATAGTGTCTACATGTGTGGTAAATCAAGCTTGGTTATACATTGGGCTGTATGTTTTTGTCTTAATTTACTCCTTTAGTGGGATGGGACCCTCACTCTTTTTAGGATTGCCTGTCTATGCTTTAAGATTGAGTCTGAACTTTTTAAAAAATCATGAAAGGAAAATGCAATTAGGTGCTTCTTCTATGATTTAAGCTTGTGAATGCTGTAGCTGACAGAAGTTTCTTTCTTATTATGTTATTTATGCTTATAAGAGTTATAATTATTCCTTTTTCAGGAATTATAAAAGGAATTATTATTCTTTTTCCTTTTATAATCCAGCCAGATCTGTCTAGAATCCCATTCAATAAAATGGGTGTATGTTATGATTCTCTTACAGGCTGCAAGACTAACATTTTTTTCCCCTGCAATCCTATATTTAGACATGAAAAAATCCTTCAACTCCAAGCATTTCCCAGCCAGCCATGGCTAGCTGTGAGTTATAAAATGTTCAGATTAAACATACTTAAGATTGCACCTTCAGTATCTAAAAAAGGCATTTAAAACATATTAGTTAGCTTTTAGACTTGTGGAATGCCCTGGGATCATATAGTCAGTGTTGCAAATTTAGGATTATGAAGTTTTATTCAAGATCATAGAGATGCACTAAATCACATTAAGTAGTAACAACTTCTGTAATAAGGTGTGTGCTCTAATAGAGTGTCAAGAATTGTTTATTATCCTAGTAGTTGAAAACATTCCTGTAAACATTCCAGTAGTAGAGAACATTATTATAGTGTAGCAAATGAGCTTTCATGTAAGAAATTGTATATCTTTTATACATTTTTCCTTATCTGCAGTATTAACCAGAAATATTTTGTGTTTCAGATATAATTAAAGAGCAAAACAAGGAGCTAAGAGGTACACAGAGAGCTATAGTAAGGGATCGAGCAGCTTTGGAGCGACAGGAAAAACAGCTGGTAAGTAGATCAGAGAATTTTAGTTCATTAGAGGTATGCACTCAGTATAAGATTAGATCTGGACTTGAAGTGTTTCAGCAAAATTGTGCTCAAAGCAATCTGGAGGCAATCTAATTTGATACAGGTACTGAATCTGAGTCAAGACTGGGAAATCCAAAGCTTTGTGCCTCCGATTGACTATCGTGGAAAATAGAAAATAACTTTAACTTTCAGTCTGTTAGAAGTAGATATTTGTAACCATTAGATGGCTTATACCAGCCTGATGTCAAAATAACAGGTGCATTGTATTTCGTAGTATGCATATAAATATTCTTTATTTTTGAGGGAACTACTGATGCCTTCTGCGGGGAATGGGTTAGCCAAGTTTAAGATGAAAGAAGTTCAGAGATCCCTGTGAAAGAGCAGCTTTTACATTTTGAGAGTATTCCAAAGATGATATGTTTATCCCACTATGTTCCATGTAAAAACCTTTCTTCTGAAAAAAAGAAATAGCATCAAGATTTCCCTACATAGGAAAACTATGAAATTACAGAAGGATTGATGGGATGTGGAACAGAAGCCCTCACATTTGGAGATGGGGAATGATTTATTCATTATTTTTCCTGTCCATCCATGGGTTTTGAGCTATTTGTATGGAAGCTATAGCCATCGTAGAAATGGGAAGAAATCTGCAGTTTCAGAAGCATTGGTACAGAGATTAAGAAGTTATGATGACTCAAAACCACTTTTAAGGGTTTTTTTTTTTAATAGTAAGGCCTAGATTTTAAAGACTGTTATAAAACATGTTTTGTGGTGAAAAGATTACTCTTTCAGTCACTGAACCCTATTCCTTTCCTCACTCCTTGCTTGGTGTGTTTAGGCGAAGAATGAGTGCAGCCTCATGTAGGGACTAACTTCAGTTCTGTTCATTTTGGAGAGAGTTCTGCTTTGCTTAAGTAAGCTCCAGAATGATCCAAAATGACCCAATTTGGCTTCTGTCTCAGCAAAATTCAATTCAAATCCCTTAGTTTAGATTTAATTGTAATGTGCCCAAAGTGGTTGTGGTAAATAAGAGTTCATTAATCCATCTCCAAAGCACCATATCTTGTTGTACTCTAGTTTTTGATTTTGGATACATAGGGTTTTTTTTTCTTTCATTTGCCTCCAGGTAGATATCTCACTTGTCTTTGTTTGGGAAAGAATTATCATATTGGAGGTGCTTACGTGTTTCCTGAATAAATTATTATACTATTGTAAAAGACAAAATCAATGCAAACTAAAGGGAGCTTTCTTTAATCAATAGGAATTGGAAATAAAGAAAATGGCTAAGACAGGAAATAAAGAAGCTTGTAAGGTTCTAGCAAAGCAGCTTGTACAGCTGAGAAAACAGAAAACTCGAACTTATGCTGTTAGCTCAAAAGTTACATCCATGTCTACTCAAACAAAACTGATGAATTCACAGATGAAAATGGCAGGAGCAATGTCAACAACTGCAAAGGTAAGCACTTAGGCCTAAATATCTCAAACACTGCGCATGAGGAACTGTTTTACATAGGCACAAAAAATACTATTCAGAAATCTAAAATAATGCAATATTTTGTTACATGAAGTACAGATAGCATCATGTCTGCAACTTAGAGTAGAAATTGTTCCTTTCTAGAGTATGCTTCTGTAAAACAGCTACATTGATTTTATTTAGCTGGTCCGTGTATTCTCAAAAAGATGCTGTAATATGTTATCCACTAACAGGTATATGTACAACCTTGCAAATACGTCTCTAAGGAGTGTTTGTTTGCTAACCCAATCTCTCACTGTCAGTTTGTATTGCAGCTGGGTAAGCACAGTGTAGTGCCACATTGGGATGTATGTGCATAGGAACACTTGCATTCTCTTCTGTCCTTGAAAGGAGCATAGGGGTCTATGGGGAAAGAAGTATGGTCTGTGTTATCATGATGCCTGAACTGTTCGTTTGTTTGTGGGTGGGCCAAGGGCACTGAAACAGCAGTATCCATCTATATAGCTGCTGTTTCCAGTTTTAGACAGTCAGGATAGTACTCTACTTGAGATAGTGCTGTACTTGTAACAGTCTTAGGCTTAAATGGTAGGTGCCTAGAAGATGCTGTGATTTGACATTGGATGAATCTTTTGCTATTTTCACCTTCCCAGTTGGGTTGGAAGTTTTATACATTGCATGTTTCCTTAAGATATGGCTCACATGTGCACCATGTTGTCATGTTTATATTCCATAGTTCCTCTGAGGAGTTTAGGGCAAAGTATTTAGTCTCAACAGTAACCTAACCCTATGGTTTGAGGGAGAGATGTGTGTGAGATAATACTAAGGATTCATAGCTAAGCACAGATTTGAACTTAAGTAAATAATTTACTGGAACTTTGTATTTGAGATGTGTTAACTGTGATACAGAGAGCATCTTCTGACATATACAAGGGCTTTCATTGATACAGCCTGTCTTAAAAATGTACAAAACAATAACTCCTTACTTTCTATCAGAAATAACTTTTAATGGGTTACTGTTAAGATTCTGAAGCCCCTAAGAAAGTGAGGCTTGACTCACTGGTTTGTTTTCCACAGGTTATATGGAACTTTTCTCTCATATTCTTAACTCTAAAGTCTAGAAAGTATGCTGAAAGTATTTCTGATATGACAAGGCTCTGGACTAAAAAATAAATTAATATATTAAGTGCTTAATGATATACACATCAATTTAAAAGCAAAAATAAGTATGCATAGGGTCATGGCCACAAATGTTTGGCAGCCTATGCTTTTTAACAATCTGCATGGGACCTATGTATTCCTACAAGTCCTATGAACGAAGAGTATCCTATGAACCAAGAGTTTCCTAGTTGTAAATAAAATGAGCTTAAAATTCATTTACATGCAAATTTGTACTGCTGCTAGTCTTATGCTAGAATTTATTTCTATTTTATATATGATAGTTTTATATGTTTAAATATATATTGTGTATTATACTGTATATTATGTTTTTAAGTTGTTGTGAACCACCCAGAAAGCTTCTGTTATTGGGCAAATACATAATAAATTAATTTTAGTAAATAAGGTGTTTGGAAAATGCATAAATAGGCTAGGCCATCCTCCTTCAACCTTATAGTTCCTCAGGCCCCTTGCAGTACAACTCCCATCAGCCCTAGCCAACATGTCCTGTGATCAAGCATAACAGGAGTTGTACTTCAAATCAGCTTGAGGGCACCTGGTTCAGGAAGGCTGGGCTGGACTAGACTGAGTGTAAAGGATTGATTACTACATAGTGGTGCATTCTATTTGCTGCCTGGGTCTAGATGTATAAATGTTATACAATTTTGAGCTCAATATTACACAATTTTATTTCTTACAAGGTACAATTTTCTTTTTTCTTGAATACCTTAGAAGTGTATAAATGGTTTTGTGTTGTTTTTATTACTTGATCATTCTTCCGTATTCACAAGACTATCTTGTATATTGCCAGACAATGCAAGCTGTTAATAAAAAGATGGATCCACAGAAGACATTGCAAACTATGCAAAACTTCCAGAAAGAAAATATGAAAATGGAAATGACTGAAGAAATGAGTAAGTTATGTTTTTATTGAATGCCAGTACCATGATGGCATTGATTCAGGTTCCTACTGACAGTGCTAAACATTTGGTAAACAAACAGCCAAGGTTTGTGAAGGCTTGCTAGCCTCCATGAAGCCTGGCTCAAATGCTTTGGTTGTAACTGGTACAGACAAATGGTCTGGAAATAATCTACATGAAAAGCAGATCAGGGAAAAGTATGGTTTACTGGGGCATTAAAATGATGTGAATTATTCCAGCACAGCTGTACTGTTACTGGGCTAATTAACTTCTGGGTTTTCATTTTTCTTTCAAGTCAATGATACCCTGGATGATATCTTTAATGATTCTGATGAAGAACAAGAAAGTCAGGATATTGTAAACCAAGTCCTTGATGAAATTGGAATTGAAATTTCTGGAAAGGTATGAAGAAATTATCTTCTCCTGTCACTGAAACCCTCCCTTGGCTGTACACCCTTTTCAGTATCATCATTTCATTTTGATAACCCTTGTAGTTGAAGCTGAAAAAACCTTCAAAGCCCTCTTGAAACTACCTGGATTCATAAGCCTCAGGGGGGGACCATCTTAATAGGTGGAGGGGAAAAAGCAACTGTCAGGCTAAATCTCAGCAGGCAATGATCTGTCCAAGATAAATGGACTGAGTTAAAGGCCCCCACATTCAGAGCATCATCCTCGAATCCAGTTGGAAGGACTAAGTGTAGATTATGCACTTCCTTAAGTGTCAGGTGATAACACACTGGAACAGTTCCATGGTTGTCATGAAGGCCATGAAATCCTCAGCCACCCCAGATAGTGTGCCCTCAGTATGAATGTTCACATTCCCTGAGCCAACAGCCTGGGGAATTGCATCACATCCAAGGGCACTTCTATCAGTTTAAGTAAAGCAACTGATGGATTGGAGAGTAGACAGTACACCAGCAGTTGTCTCACTGGCCCAACACAAAGCACAACTACTCCAAACCATTCATTGGATGGACAGGGTGCCCGGGGAGAGTAAATTCTTATAGTTCACTGTAATCACACGAACTCCTCAATGCTATGCTGTTGCTAAACCAAATACCTCATTGGCCACAAACAGGAGAGACTAACTCTCCCCATTCACCCACACAGTAGTTCTCTGTTTACCTGTATCTATCTGCTAACATCACAACTGCTTTTTGTCATTTCAGTTACCTACATTAAGCTTTTCCTCATTTCTTTTTAATAGATGGCCAAGGCTCCTTCGGCTGCCAGAGGCATGCCATCTGCATCTACATCCCAAAGTGCCACAATTTCAGATGAAGAGATCGAACGGCAGCTCAAAGCTCTGGGGGTGGATTAACCTCATACTGAACATGCAGCCTGCCTTCTAGAGTTATCCCATGTGTCATGAACATACACATGAACTTTCAACACAAGTTCCAGTAAAAACCAAAATCCTTTGCAAACCTTGCCTAAGCCATTACTGTTGACAATAAATTCAGGAGGCAGTTGGAAGAAGTATTTGCAAACAATTGAGAGAAAACAATACAAACTGTGTATAATTTGTATTCACTTGACCATATTGTGATCTACTGTAAACATGATAATCTGTTACAAATGATCTCAATTTGGATTGGTTGTGTTTAGCTTTTCCTCCAAAAATTACCTTGCTTGATGAACACCATTTTCTTTCTCTGTCTTTTTTTTTTGTGGGGGAGTGGTGCTGTCCTAACCTTCCATAAGTTATTGCAAGTAGCCTTTCTTTGTTTTCAGATAAGTTTCTGTTGTGAATACCGTAAGAAACTTCTTAATTTATGATATGACTTAAATGAAGCCTCACTTTTTCTTTCTATTGGAAGGTGGCAATTATCATCTTCAGGTGAAGGATTTATAAAAAGTTTAAGTAGCCTTTTATTAAGCACCTTTTTAGCATATCATTTTTGATTCAGCCATGTGTTACAGTGAGATGTAATCTAGAATTTTCATACAGTACTATTATCCAGTTAGTGGAATTGCGTTGAAAGCAAGGTTGTGGTCTAGCAGTATTTTGTGTTTTCACAATGGGTTGTAAGGAAAGTGCTGAATAACTTCCATTGTACTGTAACATAGCTAACTTGAAAAAAAAAACATTTGTGCCTTTGTGTATATACTGCTTGGTTTCTTTTAATTAAGCTTTGAATTGTGAAAAATGTAATGTTAAGCCATTATCTCAACTTAGATAGCACTGAAAGTTATGTGAAAACTGTAACTGCTGCTACAAAGTATGTAAATTAACACCTGGAAAGGCATCTTTTTTCCTGAAATAACTTTTGTACATACCACTATGCAGCATTTATCATTGAACAAGTGTTTTCTTTGAAAATATACTTTATTGTCCAATGTTCTATGTTTGTTCTATGTTTTATCC